GTTGTGCTCCCTGCCTAAGCACTGCCCTCTAATGTTTTTCACCCACCTGGGCTTAATCATAGAGACTATTGATTAAGCCCTGGTGGGTGAAATGTGTTAGAGGGCGGTGCCTAGGTGGGGATTGCAACATGGACTTGTGTTGATTATATAATCCTTTGTGGAATGATGATACCAGGGATGCGACCATTTATTAGTTTGAAGTGTGTTGTTGAACTGAGACAAGTTTGTATGGCCAGCACCCAGTGTTCCTGAGGCTGTCTGGAATTTGCAGTGAGAGTTTTGAAGAGGTGAAACAATGTTGATTCTGCTAAGTGTTACGGGGTGTTATAACCTTTATATTGATAAAAGAGGTAGATATTTTTTGGGGGTTGTTATGGGTCACTTTGCTCATTCTTTTTTCTTTTTGTTTTTAATATGACCATATTTGCTTTAAAAAGGGAACATTGTTCCCTATTTCTCTGTGATGCCATATGCAACCTTCTTTATTTATTTATGTTACCAATCTTAACAGGAATATTACAATTTAAATGCCAGGGATTGTCCCAGTTTACATAAATATTACGTTTTTTAAGGCTTTACTGACTTGTGCCAAGCGTATAGTAAACGTGTAGGGAAAGGAACGGCAAACAAAAATATGCATGGCAATATGTAGCAGACACCTCAAAGTGACTACACGGTCAAAAGTAAGAAAAAGACAACCTATTAAAGAAGATGCTATGGGTTTCATTTACTAGAGGCAAATAGGCTGTTCACTTTTACAAGGGAATTTTCTCCTAGCTTAGTGAATGTGGTAAAAATGTACTTTTCAAAGAATATCCAATCACATGCAACAGTATTTTTGTTTGCACATGATTGAGTGATGGAAGTAAGCAGAGCTTCACCTCATATACAGTACTAAGCTAAGGGGGAGTTCCTTTGCAAAGTGAGAAGCCTATTTGTTTGTAGTAAATCCTTTATCTATCAATGGCACGAGGTAACGGGAAGTAAGAAAAGTGACCTTTATGCTGATATGTATCATTAGGCTTATTTTTTTTTCTTTTGCCTACTGGTTTATTATAAAATGGGGTTTGCTTGAGTAAGAGATGGTAAACATTTCCCTTTAGGTTTGCAAATAGTAGTGGCCCAGTGGTTGGAACAGAAATGTTTCTCCTTGTCTCATGCATCACCAGGCCTGTAATCTTCTGATCTTGTTGCATGTGCCCAGGGAACTCTAAACATTGTAGGAACACTGGTAATTTGAGTAAGGCTCCGTTCCCACTGCGCGATATGCAAATCGCGCGTTTGTCACGCGATTTGCATATTGCGCAATATCACGAGATTTGCAGCGCGATATCGCGTTCAAGCTTGCATTGAGCAAGCTTGAATTGCGGCTAAATCCGCTCCAAAAAGGTTCCTGCTGTAGCGACACACGACCCGTGACAGCAGGACCCTTTGCCCCATTGAAATGCATTGGAGCGCGATATCGCGCGGTAATTTGCCGCGATATCGTGGGAATTACCGCGCAATAAATCGCTCAAGGTGAACGGGGCTTAAGGGTTATTATTTTATGGAAGAGCAGGAAACTGCCTTCATTTAGCATGCAGTATAACAAAACTCCAGTATAGAGATGAGTGAAACTAATTTTTTCTTTTTTTTTTTGTCTCTTTGGAATGACAGATTCCTGTGACATTTTGCTATTTTGGCTAATGGTATTGATGTGCATTGGAAAGGCAAAGGTTTTTGGTGATTTTTTTAAGGGATCAAAGAGCCTTAAATTTCTCCCGAAGGTTATAGAAACTCCTTCTAATGATCCCATATGGTTTTTTTTCTGGCAAAAAATGGACCATCGTTTACCTTTTTTGTTCACAGAAAGATAACAGCAAGTGATAAAAAAATAAAATAAACTGTATACATATATCGATCAAATACATACCAAAAAAAGGAGAAACCACAAATACAAAAAATACTTAATAAAATAAACTATTCTCCCCCTTGTACCCATTCTCCCCCCAAATAGAAATCCACCTAAAAAAAGGGAAAACAATTGTTTAAGGAAAACATTTGCATGAGCAGCTTAATAAGCAAAATTTTGAATGATCATTTTGGCAAACTTTTACCAACTGCAAAATTGGTAATTCATTCCTAGTCAGGCGTTATGTAACCAATTAAAAGTGCCTTACTTTGTTTTCAACAGTTTAGGCTTATGCATATGATAGAAGTGGGATTACTTGACATCTCTCGTGTATGGGAATATATTTTTCACTACAACCACTGTTTAGCTAAAACATATTCAATTCTATTAGGTTACTGGAATGTTTTGAAATCTGAAAGGTCAATAAAAGCTCTTATATAAGCTAGTTTATATGTGTTTTACTAGGCCAAATCTTAAAGGATACTTTAGTTGAACTTGTACATGCAGTTTTAGTAAAAATGCAAATAAAATGACTTACCTTTCCTGTGGGGGTCAATGAGTTTAAGACCATGGCCCACACCCACCTGGTCAACTTCCATCTTTCTTGACTGCGCAGGAAGCCACTCCTGGCCATCCTTGGAAGACGGACCACTTACGCATCCCAATGCAGAACCCTTTACCCGTGTCTCATTGGCTTCCTGTGCAGGAATGCACGGTGGAATCTAACCTAGATGATGTAGGCTGCATCCCAAAGACTCACAAGTCCCCACAAAGAAGGTAATGTAATCTGCTTTTTTTTATTAAGAAGAGTATGTTACTTTAGATAAATTATTGGATCTACGCTATACTGTATTAACACACATGTTAATGTCTTTAAAAACAGGCTTGTATATAAACAATGTTGGGATTTTTTGGCATGGTTCATTTTATCTGTCAATATTTTGTATTAATTGGTTGGCTGTGGCTTTAACTATCAGAAAATTCAGATCTCTGTTCATGCTTTTCCTAATCATTTAGTGCCCTTTCACATGAAGCCTTGACTAATTGCAGTAAAACAGCATAAAAATGTTATGTGCATGTGTCTTGGTTTTGATGTGTTTTTTTTCCCCATAACATAGATAATTATTGATATATATATATATAGTCCAAAGGTAAGCACCACACTCAGATAAGAGTAAAAACTGCCTGGGTGCACTCAAAGCAATTTGATGCAAATGGTCCAGTGGAAGTGGCACAGGTCTTGTAATGAAGCAACATAGATACATTTATTGGTTGACATTTTAACATGGCACTTCTTGTCTTTACAGCTGACTGAAATAATGCTTCATTCCTACTCAAACGTGATGCAATTAAAAATTGAATTATTGCTTATGCCACAAAGATATTCTAAAGTGGCCTGGGTAGGCTTGTTGGCACCCTTAGAGAAGGTTATAAATAATTGTATCATAGTGATATTTCACATGTCACCAATCTTGTAATCTGTCAGTATGCCTATTTAAATGGAGAAAAGTAGTGACTCTACTGTTTGGTATCATTGTGTGCACCACACTGAACAGGGTCCAGGTAAAGCAAAAGAGAGAGTTGTTTAAAAAAGAGATTAGAAAGAAAATTATTGACCAGCATGTCCAAGGTAGAGGCTATAAGACCATATCCAACCAGCTTGATGTTCCTGTGACCACAATAATTTCAGCAGAAAGTCTGTGTGGCTCCGATCGGGCCACACAGTGAAGATGGCCAGAGCTGGGTCTGGATGTAAGTATAAGAACTGGCAGGCAGCATGTGGGAGTGGTGGCAACTTAAATAGGATAGGATTTGAGCTGTGGGTGACCTCTGGCACTGAGAGCCTAGTGAAAAATTGTCGGCCAAATAGTGACTGTATCCAATCAGTTGCAGTCACTGTTTAGGTATTCAGCATGTGTGGTACCCACTGGCTGCTGAATGCAATATTTGACATGGGAGGTTATCATGGATGAAGAAATCCATAGATTTTTTCTTTTAACCCCTAATGATCAACTAATGATTACTTTTGATAGTAACAAGGAGAAGATAATGCAGTTTAGAGGTTCTCCTCTCTTCTTCTTCATCAAATGGATGGGATAGGTTCTCAGGGATAATTAGGAACATGGGAACTGATAATAATGTAGCACAGGCAGAGAGAAAAGGATGATATCAGCTGACAAGATTTCTGGCAGGATCAACAGGTATTTTTAGTAAACACTTTAATTGTTCTGGTTTACCCACTGTTTAAGTAGAACGTTAATTCCCTATTGAGTATGTATTGCTGTTCATAACTCTGACCAAGATATTTCCCCCACCACTCTTACAGGTCAGGCAGTGGGGTTGGTGCTTGTAGTGCATGCTCTATTTTTTTTAAAGATAATTCATACAAGGCATTAAAGTTAAGACTCTCAATGAGCACATTGTTATGGATCAGTGACTCAGGAATATCAAACTCATAAAACCAACATGACAACCAGGCTGCTAGCATTTTCTAGATGATATGTCAGCAGTGACATAAAAAGGTTTGTATGATAAGCGTGTAGTAAGTCTTAAACTAGTTTCCTTCTCAGAAGTGTAGACAACCTTCTTAGATCACTATAACTTTTAAGAGACTTTGTCACTATTCAGAGTCTTTTAAAAAAAACAACTGTCAATCCACTTGTACTCACTTTTCCTGTGCTCCCTTACCATTCCTCTGCTTCATTGAAGTTGCTGTGATATACCCAGTGTTTCTGGGTACGGGGGAGCATGTAAGCCCCTCCAATAATGCAATGCTCAAGCCTGAGTGGTCAATCACTAGGTCTGCTTAGAGAAAAGAGAGGTGACAATATCAACCCTGTGTAAGTAGCGACACCATCTGACACAAAGCATCCAGTTAGGACTGCAAAGTGCTGGGGAGCATGGGCAAGGCCAGTGTAAGAACTTTGCACTAAATAGGCAAAGTGATCGTATATTTTTACTTACATGCAAAACAAATGAACATTTGCGAAAAAAATTAATATAATATATTAATTATATTTAATTAATATAAGTACTAAATAATTTGTGTGCCCTTGCTTGCAGTTAACTTTTGATGCATTTAGGTTCTGACATTTTTTTTACTTCCTAGGATAAAGAAGTTAACCTGGAGCAAGTTCACCGAAGAATGAACAGTTTAATTGATGAAGATATGGCTCATAAACAAATCTCCACTGCATCTATTGAAATATCAGCACTGGAGATCGGTGGCATGTCATCTAGTCAAACCCTGGAGCCAGTTCGGGAATATCAGAATACTCAACTTTCAGTCACCACCTTTTTACCTGAACATTCAAGTCACGGTGGTGGTAGAACACATAGTTCTGTTTCAAGCAGTAACTTACCCTTACCTCTTAGCAGCTCATCAACCATGCCCTCTATACAGTGTAAACACAGATCGCCAAACGGAGGACTGTTTCGTCAGAGTCCTGTGAAAACGCCCATGCCATTATCATTCCAGTCCATGCCAGGGGGACCAATTCCAGAAGCCATTGAGCCTTCTCATGGAACATCTATATAGTTATAAAAAAAGGAGGAAAAAAACCTGCAAAGCTTTTTAATACAACTAAAAAAAGAAAAAAACATAAAAACTCTTACGTTTTTCTTGTACATATCTGTAAATAACAAAAGAATGAAGTGGGGTAAAAGTGTATTTTGAATATTCCCATTTTTTGAAGTCAGTAAAACAAACAAAAAATGTATGAATGGCTTTGTAAATTTTGTTCTATATAAATAAAACAGCAACTTACTTTTGACCCTTCTCAAGTGCCAAAGAAGACCTGTGACTGGGACAGAAGGCCGTTAGCCTTTCGACGTGTTTCATTTTTAGTTAGGTTCATTTAATGCCTCAACTTTCACACAATTACAAACAATGTTCTAGTCACTGCTCAGCATTTCATTTTAATAGGCTGAAAAACAATTTAGAGACCAGCATTAGTATAAAAAATAGTTGTGTGCTAAAACAAAATGATAAGAGTCAGTTAAATTACAACTGAAATGTTTCCTTCTAACAAGAAGTATCTGGGATTGAATCTCCACAAAATTCTAGGTTAAAGCACTGGTTTATTAAATTGTATTTTATGTGTACCGTGCTGTGTGGCCTTTTGATTTAACCTTTACAATTGGCAGGATCTATGATATCTTTGGTGGGAAATGGTGAGGTTAGAGGTGAAAAGAAAAATCTGTTGAGCGAAACCTGTAATCATCTTTTTTGTAGCTTGTACAATGAAATGTTGGTTGGGACTGATGATTTATAAATGAGAAAGTTAGTTGATGGAACACACAGTTTGTGCTTGTGTCCTGAGTTCTCAAGTACACTTCTTGCCACTAAGCAAACATAACTTAGTGTTTATACACAGAACTTTCAAAACAGCACATTTATAATATGTACAATTTGTTTTATTCCAATTCTTAAAAATCCAAAACAGACATACTTTTTGGCAAAAAATTTTTTTTTTTCTTTTTTACCCTGGCTACACAAAGAGTAGCCATACACATCTCTATATTCATAGCAGTTTTTTGAACTTTTGAACTATTGTGCATGACTGCTTGGTGGTGTCTGAGCTATATCTTCACTGATAATGAGTTATCAACTGTAATAAAAGTGTCTTATTATTGTTCACAACGATTTTCCAATAGGTTGAAACATATCTGTAACCAATTAGTAATCACTTTATTCTCTATAGAAAGGGAAACAATCATTTCACCATCTTATGTTCCCAATAGTGTCAGGGAGTTGAAGTTGCAGTAGGTATTATCTTGGGTAAAGTAATTACCCATACATGGGCAACTGTGACTACTAAACTAAATATTGTTTGAGGTTGGTTGCTTTTAGAAAAGGGCACTGTAGTCTTGTTCCTCTAGGTAGCAGAGGCACACATGTGTCTCTTCTTGTATATAGTAGACATGTGCGATTCTTTTCGGAAAAAACAAATTTCTGATTAATTTTGTTCGTTATTCAGAGATTTTCATGTATTCGAATAACAAAAATGACGAATGAAAACAAATTTCGTCCAAATCCCAAAACAAATTGACTTTCGGACCCAAATCCTGAAAAATTAAATAATGCAAAATCCAAATCAAGATGAAACTAAACAATTTTTTTTGCTGCTGCACATGTCTAGTACATTGTTTCGAAAAGATTTGTTATTCTGACAAATTTTCAGAAATTTGTGCATTTGGATGCATGCAAATTTCCAATTCAGATTTGTACATTCGGATGCATGCAAATTTTTTCAGAAATCTTTACATTCGGATGCACGCAAATTTCCAAATGATAGAAGTAACGGATGAAAAAGAATAATGAATGAAAAAGAATACGAATTTCCGATAACAAACATTCTGGATGTATTCAAAAAAAATGTTTCCGTTAACAGTAGTATCATTGCAGCAAAGTCAACATTGGACAAAAATTATTTTATTTTTTTTTACAGTCCAAAGTGTGATGTTCCCCCTAAGTGATACCAGACCCCTTAGGTATGGTAGGAATGTTATGAGGGACCCCCTATGTTAAAAAAAAAAGTGTGTGGGGTTCCCCATTAAAAAGTCTTTTAAATAAAAAAAAGTCAGTTTTTGACAAGTCCTTTATTGAAAAAAAAAATGGATCCATCAATGTAATCCAGCATCAATCACAATGAACGATGCCCACCGACTTGCTGAAATAAAAAAAGTCGCACTGCACATCGACCCGTCCGAACCCATCGAAGACTCAGGCTGGAGCTGTCATTTTGCGGTGAATGTAAATGAATGGTGGAGAAAGCCGTGACGTCACTGTGCTCATTATGCCCATTTTACATTCTGAGCTGTCATCGAACATAAGAGCATTCAGGAGCTCCTATTCATGAGCTCCCAAATGCCATTCGGGTCTGGGAGCTGAGGTGTCATAATACTACTCATATGACACCTCGGCTCCCAGACGCGAATAGCATTTGGGAGCTCCCAAATGCTATTGTGTTCTATGACAGCTCAGAATATCAAATAGGCGGAACAAGCCCAGTGGCGTCTTGCTCTGCCTATTTGTTTACTTTCATGCTGGAGCTGTCATTTTGCGGCAAGTCTTCGTCGGGTTCGGACAAGTCATTGTGCAGCAGGACTTTTTTATTTCGGTGAGTCGGCGGGCGTCTATCATAATTGACGCTGGATGACATTGATGGATCCATTTTTATTTTTTTTAATAAAGGACTTGTAAAAATATATTTTTTTTCAATTAAAGGACTTTTTAAAAATGTGTGGTGTCTTTATTTACACTTTTAACCCTTTGGTGTACCCCTTACTCATTCAAAAGGGGGGTACAGCAGCATCCTGGTGCCCTTTAATTAAGGGGGAACCCTGATGCAAATAAGCCCCCCTGCCAGCAGACCCCCATAGCCATCAGGCCAGGGTTGTGAGGAAGAGGCCCTTGTCCCCATCGGCATGAGGGCACCCTCCAAATGGCCTGGTATGGCACGGGGAGGGGGGCTGCTTAATTGTCCCCCTTTCCTACTATGCCAGGCCGCTGGTTGGATCAAGGGTCTAGTAGGAATTTTAGGGGGACCCCATGGTTTTCCCCCATTTGTAGGGGTTCCCCCTTAAAATCCCTACCAGAAGTATCTGGTATGATTTTTTGGGGGAACCCCACACACTTTTTTTTCTATTTTTAACTTGGGGGTCCACTGCCAAAATTCCTACCAGACTTAAAGGGTTTTCTGTGTACTATAAAATAATTTCATTCGTTTCCCTTTTGTCTAATGTCACTTTGCTGTAATGAAAATTTGTTTGTAACAAAAATTCGTACATACTATCGCTAATGAAATTTAACAAAAATTTGGATTTTGTCCGAATCTGGTAACAAATTGACTTTCGGACCTGAATTATTATTATTATACAGGATTTATATAGCACCAACACTTTACAATATAAGGAAGACATTACAATCACAATACAATTCAAGACAAGATGTAAGCAGGGCCCTCAATTTTAAAGGGAGGTGGTAGTGATACATGAGGCGGTCCGAAAAATGAAATAAAAAATCAAAATGAAAACTAAACAATTTTTTTTGCCGGCTCACATGTCTACTTGTATAGTTATCAGTCACATATTATTTTCCCTAATGGCAGTAAACACCACAATTTCATAAAAGTTCAGGGTAGGACCATTGTAGGAAGATGTAGCTGTCGATGGATGTGTGCCTACAGGCTCCAGTGAAAGAAAGTCTGTATGAAATACTATACATTAATGTTACTATCACTATGGCTGTATAGAAAGCCACCTTGGGTTTTTTATTAATAATTTTTATGGTTGCAATGAATAGGGTCATAATCTATTTTTTAAATGAAACCGTTATTACCAGATGAGTAGTGATCATTTTTAATATGACAAAAGTTGAAATATTTGTTACCTGTCTCATTATAGGACAAGTAAGATTAACAACTTGAATTTAAACCTTATCATGGGACTAAACTCTTAGAAGGGTATGTACACATATCACTGGTCAACACATGATCAATTTTACAGAAATATATATATAAGCATATATAATATTTATGTTGCTTGTAGAGATTACTTTTATTGGCCAGTTGTATTTTGTAATATTGCTCTTAAATAATGTATTCTGAAAGCCTAGCAGAAAGAGCACACACTTTGAAAACTGTATTTTGATCATGATTTACAAATGCACAAATCAAAGAAATGGGGGATTATTCCCTTTACATCACTCATCCTTTACCATGACATACCTTTTGATCTTTATCACAACTGTTCCAATCACAGTTGGACCCCTACCTGTATCTGACAACTGTTGTGTAAGTCTCCTTGTTTGGAAATAATTGGAAATAATTCATTAATAATCACAGAAAGAAGTGGGGAGGGATGAAAACAGGTGTGCAAGTGACTAAAATGAGTTTAACATACTACAATTACTTACATTTATAAGGATGTATGTGAATATGTATATATCAGATATATTTCTAGAAACCTGTAAAATGTATTTATTCTTTTCTGGATTTTTTTTCTCTTTTTGGAAAAAAGTGTTCACAAATTCACACAAATAAGATATTTTGCTTTTGGCTTTTTAACAGCCCAATAATGTAAATGTATCTTGTAAATCTTTCATTTCAGGAATCATACATTCTTATCTGCTTCTATACATTCATGATGCAATGATACAGTGCATAAAGTTATGTTTTATGCAAAGAGAAGCATAGGACTGAATGTGAATGTAGGAATGATTCAGGATAAAAATATGGGGATTGCAATTGTCCACTTGTTATCCAGGGATCCTCATCACTGAGCTGTATTTAATGAGTAGAGATCCTCATCACTAAGTACATTACTGAGTAGAGATGGGTTCACTTAGCTTAAATTAAATTAGGTAAAGGCTGTGTGAATCAATTTATATGAATTTATTAAAAAATCCCAGTGAATGTGATTGTGCTTTCTTCTTAGTATGATATATATTTGTATATCTGACATGTGGTTTACAGGTAAATCTATACTCAATCCAGTTGTCCAACCAAGTTTAACAAATACTGTTCTTTAGTTAATTTGCACATGATTGGGTAATGAAAGGAAACAAAGCTTCACATAGGAGATGACTAGCCCAGGCCTATGCCTTCACAAGTCAACAATGGAATCTTTTATTTTTCTTCCTGACAGGTTCCTTTTGAAACTT